GTGAAGACTCCGAACGGATGCATGCTGAAACTAAATGGTGTCCGACACATTCCTGGTTTGAGGAGGAATCTTCTTCCAATTGGGCAGCTGGATGAGGAAGGTTATGCACTTACATTCGGCAGCAGAAATTGGAAGATCACTAAGGGAGCCTTGCTGGTTGCTAAGGGGAAGAAGGAGGGTACGTTGTACATGACAACGAACTCAAAGGACTGCATCGATGTTGTTGCCGCTGCAACAAACGATGTGAATTTGTGGCACTGTCGGCTCGGTCACATGATCGAAAAGGGGATGAAGGAGCTGTGCTCGAAGGGCAAACTGCCCGGCCTGAAGACTGTTGAGGTTGGCTTATGCGAGGACTGCATATTCGGGAAACAGAAACGTGTCAGTTTCTCAAAGGGAAGACGAGCTATCAAACCGGAGAAGCTGGAACTAGTTCACACCGACCTTTAGGGACCTGCAGAAGTTACATCCTTGGGAGGATCCGCCTACTACATGACCTTTATTGATGATGCCACAAGAAAGGTGTGGGTTTATTTTCTAAAAAATAAATCCGATGCCTTTGATGCTTTCAGGAGGTGGAAAACTCGTGTTGAGACAGAGTCAGGTCTGAAGTTGAAGTGCCTTCGGTCAGATAATGGGGGTGAGTATGAACTGCATGAGTTCAAGAATTTTTGTGCTGAGAATGGGGTTCGTATGGAGAAGACAACTAAGGGGACTCCGCAGCATAATGGCATTGTTGAATGCATGAACATAACACTGAATGAGCGGGCTAGATGCATGAGGTTGAAGAGTGACTTACCGAAGATGTTTTGGGCGGATGCAGTGAACACCGCGGCTTTTCTCATCAACAGAAGTCCAATGATCTCGTTGGAGAATGGCATTCCTGAAGGAAAGGTGGACAGGTAAAGAGGTAAATCTGTCCTATCTCTGCATATTTGGTTGTGTTGCTTATGTTCATATCTGTGAAGTGTACGTTCGTTGGATATGGTGGTGATGACTATGGATACAGATTCTGGGATGAGCAGAATAGGAAGATTATTCGTAGTTGAGATGTGGTGTTCAACGAGCAGGTTCTGTACAAGGACAGATTGAGCACATCTGATTCTGAGCAAGAAAGTTCGAAGATCATATAGCTGGATATCTCTAATTTGGGTGGGAGCAAGCAGGATCAGAATGAAGAGATGAGCAGTGATGAGGATCCATCAACTCCGCCAAGGCAACAGCCTGCTAGGAACCGAAGAGCACCAAATAGGTATTCACCTTCTAATTTCTATTTGTTGCTTACTGACGGTGGTGAACCAGAGTCCTATGCAGAGGCAGTTCGGGTTGATGACAAGGGCAAGTGGAAACTTGCAATGGATGATGAGATGGCATCTCTCACATCCAATGATACTTGGAGGTTAGTTGAACTACCTAGAGGAAAGAAGGCTTTGCACTACAAGTGGGTCTACTGCATCAAGAAGGAGGCAGATGGTAGCAAACGCTACAAAGCTAGGCTGGTTGTGAAGGGGTTTGAGCAGCGCTATGGTATTGATTATACCGACATATTCTCTCCAGTTGTGAAACTAACTACTATTCGGTTGGTGTTGGGGTTAGTTGCTGCAGAAAATTTGTTGTTACATCAGATGAATGTGAAGACTGCATTCTTTCATGGTGATCTGAATGACGAGATTTACATGGTGCAACCAGAGGGCTATGTGGCAGAGGGCAGTGAGAATCTCGTATGCAAGCTAGTCAAGAGCTTATACGGGTTGAAGCAGGCACCGAAGCAGTGGTACAAGAAATTTGATGGTTTCATGCGGGAAATCAATTTCTTGAGATGTCACACCGACAATTGCTGCTACTACAAGAAGACTGAGAACTGTTATCTTATCTTGCTATTATATGTAGATGACATGTTGATTGCAGGAGCTAGTTCAAATGAGATTGAGAAGCTAAAGAAACAGTTGTCAGAACGTTTTTTCATGAAGGATCTTGGAGAGGCAAAGCGGATTTTGGGCATGCGAATCGAGAGGGATGAGGCAGCGGGTAGATTGTTTCTTTCACAGGCAGAATACATTCAGAAGGTCTTGGAAAGATTTAGAATGCAAGATGCTAAGGCTGCAAGTGTTCCATTGGGTAGTCACTTCAAGCTTAGCAAGGAAGATTCTCCAAAGAACAAGGAGGACTGTGCTCAAATGCAGAAGATTCCATACGCATCGGCAATTGGCAGCATCATGTACGCTATGGTTTGCACGAGGCCAGACATTGCACATGCGGTGGGAGTAGTGAGCAGATACATGGGAGACCCCGGGAAAGAACACTGGGAAGCTGTGAAGTGGATCATGAGGTATTTGAAAGGTACTGCTTCTAATGCTTTGTGTTTTGATGGAAAGAATGTAGAGCTACTGGGACATGTTGATGCAGATCTGGCATCAAATGACTCGGATGGATCAAGAAGCACCACATGGTATGTTTTTACATTTGGTGAGACAGCAGTATCTTGGCTTTCGCAGCTGCAGAAGATTGTTGCATTATCTACTACAGAGACAGAATATGTGGCCATTACGGAGGCAAGTAAGGAGATGGTGTGGCTTCAGAATTTACTTGGGGAACTTGGGAAGGAGTACAAGAATAGCATTCTTTACAGTGACAGTCAAAGTGCTATCTTCTTGGCAAACAACTGAGCTTTTCACAAGAGAACCAAACACATTCGGTTGAAGTATCACTACATCCTTCATCTTCTAGAGATAGAGACATTGCAGCTTGTGAAGATCCGTGGGAGTTAGAATCCAGCAGACATGTTTACTAAGGTGGTAACCTTGGAGAAGTTGAAGCTTTGCATAGCTTCAATTGGCCTTGGTACTTGAAGTTGAAGGCCGGCGCTACCATGCTAACAAGGGAGGATTTGAAGAAGACAGTCTCAAGGTGGGAGATTGTAAGGTGTTAGAGACAATTTCTTAATTTATTCTTGGAAACACGTTTCTTAATTTATTTTTGGAAACACATCCTAATTTAATTAGGGGTTATGTTGCTTTGGGAACAAGACACTGCATCTCTATAAATACCACTCTCCTCTCTTGTAATCTGCATCCAGAAAATATTAATAACATTCCTAGCTTGGTAGAGCCCCCAGACGTAGTCCTCTGTGGCGAGCTGAGTTACCAAATTTTGTGTGTTCTTTAATTGTTCTTCGTGTTTGTGAGTTAAATTCCTAACATATATATATACACACACACACACACACACACAGGGAACTCTTCCGGTAAGGTATACCTTACTGGAGCCTTTGTGCGGCCTCCACGTTTTGAGGGCCTTCCCGGTGGAATTTTTCGATGAAATTTTTTGAGCATGTTCTACATCAAGTCTAGTACATCCATAGTAAATTTAAGCAAAAAATTCAATCGGTAAGGCAGTCAAATGATTTTTGGAAGATAACTGCACCCTTTATATACATATAAAACGTAGTTATCTTCCAAAAATCGTTTGACTGCCTTCCCGGTTGAAGTTTTTGCTGAAATTTGGTATGGATGTACTAGACTTGATGACGAACATGTTCAAAAATTTTCATAAAAAAAATCCACCGGGAAGGCCCTCAAAACGTGGAGGCCGCACGGCGGCTCCAGTAAGGTATATATATATATATATATATATAGAGAGAGAGAGAGAGAGAGAGAGAGAGAGAGAGAGAGAGAGAGGAAAGTTCATGTCAGGACCTCCAAAAACGGACCTCAGTGTTTGGGTTCCTTCCCGGTGGAATATTTATATGGGGGCACCCGTGGGGACAACGGGGTGGGGCGGGGATGGGGCGGCTCTGAGAGTAACGGGGGATGGGGCGGGGATGGGGGAACTTTTTAGACATGGGGCGGGGATGGGGGAACTTTTTAGACATGGGGCGGGGGATAGGGGAGTGTACCCCCGCCCCAAACCCGCCCCATTGCCATCCCTAGCGATGACCCATCCTCCATGGATGAAGATAGTGGCGTCCACCTCCCCATTAACACACAGAAAGAGAAGGAACATAAATCGGCGCGGGGGGGGGGGGGGGAGGGTGACAACAACCGGCGCGTAGCAAAGAAGCAGAGGCGGAGGGCGGCCGTCAGAGGCGTCAGTTGGCGGCTGTGAGGTCGATGATGGAGGAGCGATGAAGTAGATCTACGAGGCTTCAATTGCTCGTTGTTCTAGAAGCGTAGATCTCGATAGCTTGGGGGGCTGAGAAGCTATATGTCATTATTTTGTATAATTTCAAAATGATCATATTTTTGTCCATTAAAACCTTATGATAATATTTGTGTCAAACTTTCTTTTAGAAACGGCGTAGTTTTACACATATTTGAATATAATCAAATTAAAGAAGCATCAATAAAAAACCTTTGGTAATTGATATCCGACTTCTCCATCCTTTTTAGGAAAAACAACCTAACTGGGTCCAAATTAATCCAGACATAATTGGTTTTGTGCGGTTTTGACCGGTTTCTAAGGAGTTTTGATATTTTGGATCAACTCGGCAGGTCCGGTTCGATTTTGTGAACACACTCGTGGACATTAAAGGGGTGTCTGGATCTAATTCTTAAAACTGCTTCTGTTCCATGAGGGAGCAGAAGCAGAAGCTGGAGTGTTTGAGTGAAAGGGTAGAAGTGACTCTGATGCTCTAATGTACTCCTAGAATCAGTTTTTTTTATAAGCTGGAGGTGACCAGCTTCTGAAAATTGATTCTGCTTTTACTTTAAAAAAGAAGCAGAATTTCCAAACACCCCTAAGTGCTATAGGGTATTAATTAATGCTTTAAAATTTTGATCGCTCTGGTTTTTTCAGCGTTGGCTGGGTTGATCCGCCCGATCATTTGGCGTGGTTTTAAATATTAATAGCATAGGTAACGGTCAATCTTTATCAATTTCCGTTTAGCATTTATGTAATCTTCACCAATTTTGATAGAATTCCGTGTGTTACCGATGAGGCTCACATTTTCCATGGTTTGAATTTTGACACAACAGTTATATCTCTACAAAAGGATGCAACCCCTTACCCGACCACATAATTTAAGCTTTCGGAATTTACGATGGCGGTCTATCTCTACTTAAAGCCGAGCCTGCCCTGATTCCGGATCCAGGAGAGAAGCCCAATAAATACCTCATCGCCTCTCTTTTCGTCCCTCTTTCGTCATAGTCTCATACGCCATCAAAACGCCGCTATTGATACCACGACCGACGCAGGGAGAAGAAGCTCTGGCAGGTAGAGAAAGAGGAGGACCAGGCTGTTCTGGTAATTTTCTCCATTCATTCTGCTAGATTTATATGCTTATGTCTCTTTTTTGCTTTGAAATTCATAAAAGTTATTACTTTTATTGGCGTTCGTGATTGCATTGTTCTCGGCAATGTTTTCTCTTCAATCTGAAGCTCCATTCAAATATAAAAGGGAGAAGGTTTCATAAGAATATCTAATTTCTGTATTTGTTCCCTTCTCACGTCTATGTCACTGATTGATTTTTCTGCTTAATTAGGAAACTGAACTTTAGATGTTATCCAGTAAATACTACAATTGGTGGTTTTTTTTCATTCTAAATTACTTTTGATTGTAGAAATTCAACAACTCTAATCTAAAGATTCATTTTTGATGTAGCATTAATGGGTGAGTGGGAATTCAATTTAATATCCATTGAAATGCAGATTTCCAACATTTTCATTGCAATTTTCATTCCAAGGAATTGGAGTAGAGACCCAAACTTAACATGCGTTTTGTATAGTGAAAATAAATGAACTGAAAGTAATCTACTTTTATTGAAAATTGTAAATTTAAAAGTAATCATATTCTATATATCAAACCTTCAAGAGCTGTTCTATCAAAACCAAATAATGCTCTGAATAAAGTTGTATTTGAAGTACATGTACATAGTATTAGGTATTGTATTACTTCCTTCCTTCTTTAGTAATTGCTAATGTTTGGGTTTTACTTTTTACACTTCAGAAATTGTAGCCAAAATAACTTAAATAATACGGAGTACCAACTAAGGAGTACCAACTATCTTTCGTAAACCAAGGATAATACGCAAGGTTTTAAATAGCGGTCCGCTACCGCTATAGCGGCCGCTATATAGCGGTCGCGGTAGGGGCCGCTACCGCTACGGCCCGCTATTCCGCTGTGAATTCCAAATCACGGGAAAAACCCGCTACGCCGCCCGCTACAGCCCGCTACAGTCCGCTACAGCCCGCTACAGCCCGCTATTGACATTTCCGGCAGTACGTCACGAACGGGTTGATGTGTAAATGTGTCTATGTTGTGTAAATGAACTCTTATTGTTATAAGTGTTCAAATAAATATTCACAATGTTTGTATTAACTTCAACACTCATTAAATATATGTTTTGCGCAATTGAAAATATTTCACGCCGCTGCAATCGCTACAGTCGGCTACAGGCCGCTATAGGCCGCTACCGCGATGACCGCTACCGCTACCGCTACCGCTGCCGCTACGGCTATTTAAAACCTTGATAATACGTATTTTAAAAATAATTTTTAATAATACCAAATAATACAGAGTGACTTTTCTATAAGAAATTCGGTCCTCAAGACATCAAAAACTATTATTAAACCATCAAATAAATGATATTTGTAAACATGGTCACTTATTTGATATTTTGATATTAGTTTTTGACGAGTAAAATGTCTGAATTTTTAGTGAAAATATGTTTTATATCACTTTTGATATATATCCAAATAGTTGATATTATTAAAAGTTATTTCTAAAGTACTTATAAATAGTTGATAAGTAGTATTATTTAAAGTAATTATCCCTATTTTTTATGAGCATATAAAATCAAAACTTTTCTGACGTTGTTAGACTTGTTTCAACCTAAATTTTCTAAATAGGTTTGCATCCTTTGGTGTTCTCGCCTGAAATAAAAAAATTGTTTTGTCATTGTTGGAAAATAAAGAAAACATGTTGCAATGTAATAAAAACGATCAAATAATAATACCACTAGTTAATTGATAGAGTAATAATAATAGCAATATTACAAATCAATTGTAAAATGCTCCATAAATCATAAATGGATACAATGAAAATTGCTGTGTAGTTTTTGTCAAACATGTGGAGCGGTGAAAGTGTCAATAATGGTGAAGGTGGCAGTGGCGACTTTGGTGGTAGAGGTGAGATGTTTCTAAAAGATGATGACCATTGATAACGATGGATTTGACATAACTCTAAAGCCCAAATGAAAGAATTAGAAGCCATTTTCTACGGAGTATAATTTAGGAGATTTCATTTGGACTTTTAAAGGCCACATACTATTGTCTTTTCATATGGAGCCTAAATGACTAAAAACAGCAAATAATTAATTATCATTGATTTAACTTAAAACCTTTCAAAAAAAACTTAAAATGATAGAGGTTACTAACTTAATGCAGCCTATTTTTTAGTCTACACATAATCATGTCTCCTTTTTTTTCCATCATTTGTAATGGAGTCAAAAATTTATTATTTTTTGGCTTGAGAATATGATGGAATAAAGCAAAATGGCTCACTAAACTGTCTGTACTTCTTTGTTACGAAGCAGCAGTCAGTCCATGTAACTTTGGACGCGATCACTATGGGTCATCCGGAAACGGTCTCTCCCCGCTTTAGTACAGGGGAAAGACTGCATCCGACCCCCTTACCCCACCATTGGTGGGAGTCTTTGCGGCACTGGGGTAAATGAAAATGAATAATCATGTCTCCTTTATCTGTTACGGCACGTCAAATTTCCCTTTGTACGCATACTCTTTTACAAAGCAATTGAAATTATACATTAAAAGACTTGCTGGGCCGAACAAAATTGTCTATTTTTAGAAAAATGTATGGGTAGTAGTATAACTTTTTCTAAGTTCTTCTTTTTCAATTATATTGCGAGTAGCAGATAAAAAATACGGTAATGCTAGTGGTATTGCATCATTTGTTTTCTGTTGGATAATAATACTTCTTAGTTTGATATTTCTTAAAAAAAGAAGCGTACACGTTTTGTGGGGATTATGAGGTATGATATTTTTGTTTTCTTTTTTCAATTGGTTTCGTTTTGTAATGTGAAATTAAAACCTCCCAAGTAAAACTCTTTGTATTATCTTTTCAGAATGTTTTCAATGGCAGGAGTATTTTTCTATTGAAATAAGTAAAAAATTCTTTTTAAAAATTGTGAATTTTTATCTCTTCCACAAACTTAGCTAGCAATGCTCTCTAATTTTACTTATTTTGACTATTACAAATTTCACCAACGAAATGAAAATTTTGGCATTCAATTAAAAAAAATTGTGTTTAATACAAAACTGGGTCACCAAAGGCACGGAGTTTGGTAAGCCTTCCCTCATTGTGGGTATGCATGTTTTTGCTTTAGATGCTCCCTCTCTATTTGTTTGTTTGGAACATTAGACTTTTTGAGTTTTGACCAAGTTTAATATTAAAATAGTAGAGATAGTGAATAATATAGAAAAAAAGGAGAGAAAGTTGGGAGAACATGAAAATGAAGATAACGAAGTAGAAAAGTAAGAAGTACTAAAAATGGAATGTGTAAAATTCCAAGTAAAACTCTTTGTATTATCTTTTCAGAATGTTTTCGATGGCAGGAGTTTTTTTCTATTGAAATAAGTAAAAAATTCTTTTTAAAAATTGTGATTTTTTATCTCTTCCACAAACTTAGCTAGCAATGCTCTCTAATTTTACTTATTTTGACTATTACAAATTTCACCAACGAAATGAAAAATTTGGCATTCAATTAAAAAAAATTGTGTTTAATACAAAACTGGGTCACCAAAGGCACGGAGTTTGGTAAGCCTTCCCTCATTGTGGGCATGCATGTCTTTGCTTTAGATGCTCCCTCTCTATTTGTTTGTTTGGAACATTAGACTTTTTGAGTTTTGACCAAGTTTAATATTAAAATAGTAGAGATAGTGAATAATATAGAAAAAAAGGAGAGAAAGTTGGGAGAACATGAAAATGAAGATAACGAAGTAGAAAAGTAAGAAGTACTAAAAATGGAATGTGTAAAATGTAATAAAAAAGTACTACAGGACAGAATGTTATTTGTGTTGACCAAGTGAATAGTGTTTAGTTTTTGGGACAATGTTAGCGGGACGGAGGGAGTATTTAAATACGGACCAAGAAGGAAAATGTTTCAAACATTCAGATACAGAGGGGTAGTATTTCATAGGCTTGTAATTATATTACTAACTACTCCCCCCTTCCCAGATTAGCCACCTTTCTTCTTTTGGCACTGCATTGTTGAAATTTATATTTAAAGGAAAGAATAATATCAACTCCACCATCATTTTCTTAAAAAGGAATCAAGAATGGGAACCTTTTGGGACGGATCAGCCAAAATTTTGTCACATGGTACTGAACTACTGATATTTCTGGTTAGGCCAGTTCATCCATATTACTGCATACTGTATTATTTTAGGCCGGATGCGTTTGGTCTTTCATCATAATAATTGATGTCTTCACCTTAATTTATGCTGTTCAGCCCTCTTCATTTTGGTCCAAGAAACTTTTTGACAAATGGCATACGAAATACAAAGCTCCCTGCAAGTCAATAAATGCTGTCTCACATTATTAATATGAATACAAATTAGTATCCTTTTTTATTTTTCTCTCCCTTCAAGAAATACTAGTATCATTTTTCTATTTTGTCAATGCAAACATGCAATAATTTCTGCTATGGCCTACTAAGTTATTAATATGTATCGATCTGCTACTAAATGTTTTCATGTGTTCAACAAAAGTTCAACTTTTCTGAAGGTAGGTAGTAGGTAACACTCCTTTTTGTATAGAGGTTGCAAAATTACAGTTTGGAAATTTGTAAAAAATCTAGAAAGATAATTTGTGTAGTCCCCAATTCCACCTTAAAGTTGTGAGAATTAGGAAAAGCTATTTTCCTAATACAATTTCTTGCCTACTATTTTTGCTCATACAATATAATGTTAATTATCTTTTTTATGGATGATAATTTCTAATTACAAAAAACAAAATACAATTGTGTCTAGTTTTAATGAACCTGATACATAGATGGAGAATACATGGATGAATGTGATGATGCACATCTGCGATTATCTATGTAGAACAATAATAGTGTTTATAAGTTGGGTGTCAAACAAAATGAGACATAGAGTATTTTGTGAATATGTATCTAGTTTTATGTGTACATATATCTGGTCACGCAAACACACCCACATATCTTGTTATGCACACACACTCACACATCTTGTTTTGTATTTTATGAATATATCTATATAAATATGATGATAAGTGTTTCCATTTTTGTAGCTCAGTAGTAAGCAATGGGTGCTGGAGGCAGGATGGCAGTGTCCCAGGAGGGTAAGAATCTCAAATCTGATGATTCCGTTAAGCGTGTTCCGTATGCCAAACCACCTTTCACGGTCGGTGAGATCAAGAAAGCCATCCCACCCCATTGTTTCAAACGCTCTGTTCTCCGCTCGTTCTCCTATGTTGTCTACGACCTCACGGTTGCCTTTCTCCTCTACTATGTCGCAACACACTATTTCCATCTTCTCCCACAGCCTCTCTCAAACCTGGCCTGGCCGCTCTATTGGATCTGCCAAGGCTGTGTACTGACCGGAGTCTGGGTCATCGCACACGAATGTGGTCACCATGCGTTTAGTGACTACCAATGGCTGGATGACACCGTTGGCCTTACCCTACATTCCGCTCTTCTCGTTCCTTACTTCTCTTGGAAGTACAGTCACAGGCGTCACCATTCCAACACCGGATCCCTTGAAAGGGATGAAGTTTTTGTGCCCAAACAGAAATCTGAAATAAAATGGTACGCGAAATATCTGAACAACCCTTTGGGCAGAGCTTTCACGCTTATTGCTCAGCTCACCCTTGGTTGGCCCCTATACCTCATGTTCAATGTTTCAGGTAGACCCTATCCGCGTTTCGCATGCCACTATGACCCTTACAGCCCTATATATTCACCCCGGGAGCGGGCCCAGATTTTCCTTTCGGATCTCGGTGTCTTTGCTGTTACCTTTGGATTGTACCGTCTTGTGGCAGCTAAAGGGCTGTCTTGGGTTCTCTGTGTGTATGGGTGCCCGCTCATGATTGTGAACGGGTTCCTTGTTTTGATCACTTTCTTGCAGCATACTCACCCGTCATTGCCCCATTATGATTCGTCTGAGTGGGATTGGTTGCGGGGCGCCCTCTCCACCGTTGACAGGGATTACGGCATTCTCAACAAGGTGTTTCATAACATCACAGATACTCACGTGGCACACCATCTATTCTCCACCATGCCGCACTACAATGCCATGGAGGCCACAAAGGCTATCAAGCCGATATTGGGTGAGTACTACCAGTTTGACAGCACACCAGTCTTCAAGGCAATGTTCAGAGAAGTGAAGGAATGTGTTTATGTTGAGCCAGACGATGAAGGTGACAAGAAGAAGGGAGTTTTCTGGTACAAGAATAAGCTTTAATCAGTTTGTATCCAAGCGAAAGTATCGCATGTAACGCTGCAGGTTGTATCCAAACTTAACAGGTTGATCATGTACTTGAACTTTGGTTGTGTTTGAATAAACTTTGAAAGTGCTTCATTTGAAAATGAACAATAGAACTCCCATCGTAAATTGCACACAATCTCTTCAAACCTGGGCCTGTGTGCCCCATTCAACGGATTGCTTCTCATTATCTAAATGAGATCACCCGTTATTGAGATTGAAACATGTGGGTTTGGATCTGGTTCAATACTGGCAAAATCAAGTAATGGAGACTAGAGTCAGTCTGATCTCTTCCCATTTGGAAGAATTAAATCTGTACTAGGGTTCAGCTGGCTCTAGTACAGTCCAAATTCTGGTCGGGTACTCGGGTGTTTAACCACTTGGTTTTGGTCCAGTCTCGGCAAAACTAGATCCACCCCTAATCGATTATAAGTTGCTCTCTTTTTAAAAAAAAATGTGTATAAATATGACTCAGTAAGTTACTCTCTAAGAAAATTGTGGATAAGTATGACTCAATAAGCTACAGAATGGCAAAAAAGTAATGAGGTCGACTCATATTTATACACAAAAAATTGTGTATAAATATGACTCAGTAAGTTGCTCTCTTTTTATACCTTTTGTGTATAAAAATAATGAGGTCGACTCAACATTTGCCCCTTCCATGGAAGCAGCGATAGAATAGATCCATATATTTAGGTAAATCTAAGGGCTTGTTTGCAATCAATTAAAAAAAAATGATTTTGGCTTTTTTAAAGAAAAAAAGCACTTATTTTACTTTTTCTATTACACAAAAAGTACTTATTTTACCAAACATAACCAACTTTTACTACTAATCATTTTTTCCCAAAAGTGCTTTTATTTAAGCACAAGTGGTTGCAAACAGAGCCTAACGAGGGTTTTGGAGTCGTTCATCACTGGAAAAAATGAACTTGAACTCTATCACAAAATGAACTTGAACTCTATCACTCTTAGTTCTTCAAAAAACATTATCAACCTTAGATGCATTATAAAGAAGTACGATAGTATAACACATTTTTTATTACCACAAATGGAACTCAGTACACAGAGATATATCATAGAAACAAATAAAAAACTGTAAGTAAAAACATTAATGCATAGCTATAAACAAGATGTAAAACTAGTACCAATTAAAAGGCAGCAAAGCACACGTGGGAGTAATTTGTAATCTGAATATATCCGATCATATTTTGAGTAACCATTAGCAACCTTACATTTTCAATAGTCTATAAATCATTAAATTGATATCTGAATTCGTCCAATGGTCTTGTGTAGTTTAAAAATCACAGTAACCTAATATGATTATCGTTTACACCTACATTACAATTCGCAGGTGAAGAATAGTATTGCAAATTCTTGACGAGATGCATAAGCTTAAGGGGAATATCCCAAAAATGAATAAAAAAAAATTCAAATTACAAAATAAAAGTATTGTATCCCCCCCCAAATAAGAGTATATCATTGTCATTCTCAAATCATGTCACAAATAAATTGGCATTACTAGGCATTAATATCAATATGATAGTATTAAGATCCAAACACAACATTAATTATTTTTTTGAATGACCAAACATAACAGTAATAAGATGTTGTTTTACCACACTAGTGATATATGTAGTAGTTATGGAGTGTTTGCAACTGCTTCTGCTTTACAAAAAGCACTTTTGAAGATGTAAGAAAAAAGTGATTAGTAAAAGTTGATAGTGTTTGAGAAAAAAGTGATTTTGAAAAGTAAAAGTTGGTAGTGTTTGGTAAAATAAGTGTTTTTTGTGTAATAGAAAAGGGAAAAACACTTTTCACACGCAAGCCGAAAAAAGTAAAAATTGATAGTGTTGCAAAACTGAGAAGTGCTTTTTTTAAACTGTTGCAAACACTCCCTAAATTTGGTAGAGTGCCGAACTTCAAAACTTACGTCACTTGCAATTTGCAAAGTGAAAGTTATGGTTTTTATAAAATTCATAGAAGTAGCATGCATCAAATTTCATCAATTGTGCTACTTATACCCACTCATGCGAGAGACTATTTTTTGTCTCTGAATCCCGTTCATAGACAAAACAAACATGTTTTTGTCTATTAAAATGTTCACAGACAAAAACATATTTGTTTTGTGTGCGAACAGGTCCCACAGACAAAAAAAATAGTCTCTCACTGGGGTGGGTATAAGGGGTAGGTACAAGTAGCACACTTGAAATTGTTGTTAAAATTGGTTATTATCGACCCCAAGTGGTCCAGATTCATATTGGCATATTAAAATTGTTGAACGTTAATTAACATCAAAATAATTAGTTTCAGAAAATGGAATGTGTAATGTATTTTCGCTTGGAGAATTTATTGAATTCTTGCGGGCAGAACGAATGGGGTGTGATTTAGAAGAACCTAAATACACCGTTTGACCTTGTAATGACCCCCCGACCCCCGAAATAAGAGTAGATCGTTGTCATTCTAGTAGATCATTGTAATTGACATTACGAGACATTAATATGATAGTATTAATATCTACATATTACACTAATAAGATGTTTAGAATCCTATTACTACTACCTTCATCCCTTAAAACCTGTCAACTTTCTTTTTTTGGGTGTTCCATTAACTTTGACATTTTTTCTTTTAAGTAAAGAATTTGTGATTTCGATTAATTCTCTCTTTTCCACACAAACTTCAACTACACAGTTTTTACTTTAATAATTATTACTATACCGTTCAAACTTGTCTTTAAGGAAGAGAGTATTATATAGTCGTAGTTGATTCGGTAGAGTACCGAACTTCAAAACTTACATCACTAGCAAAGTGAAAGTTATGGGTTGTATAATAAAATTAATAGAAGTAGCATGCATAAAATTTTATATGTATAACGCACATTTTTTTAAAATGTTAGACTGCTGTTACATGGACAATGAGTTTTTATTGAATTTTGTATACCAAAATTGGATATTGATTATACTAAATATAAACAATTCAACACTCTTTACATCTTGTAATGACAATTAACAAGTGACAACCATTTTCATAATTCTGATTTTCGGTTTATCACTTTCCAACATATTTTTATCAAACTGTAGCTTTTGTTTTTGTGCATTGAATTATATACTCCCTCCGTCCCGCTATTAACTTCCTACTTTCCTTTTTGGGCCGTCCCAAAATAATCTTCTCCCTAAATGGAAAGTTATCCTACATCAAAACAGTGTCAAACAGTGCAAAACAGTGTCAAACAGTGTCTAAACAGTGCCAAACAGTGTCTAAACGGTGCCAAACAGTGTTTAAACAGTAAAGTCAAATTTATTTCCTATAAATGTGTGTAGGTCAAAGTAAGAATTTAATAGAGGGACGGAGGGAGTAATAACCAAAATATGTAAGATTGGGTTTACTTCTCCGAGTGAATAAACTGAAACTATTGAAAGATCTAATTTTAACTATATTCATATGGTATTTCTATGTTTATAAAATACAGCGTGAATTGAATACTTTGTCATTAATAATAGATTCAATCAATTTAACCAATTAAAGTGGTAGAATTTCATCAATTTTGTAGATCAAATAGCTTTATTTGATTAAAAAAAGCTACCAAATGGATTAATCTAAGATGACCATATTCTTCTTTAACCGTTTAACAAAATTAGAGGCCAGGCCACCGTACGCAAATGCAGCAACTCCACACGGCTGTAGAGTACCTACAAATAAGTGGTCCTCTCTCAAGTGCCAGACAGCCTGATACGACTCAGACCAAATCCATGTGACTCCAGGAAACACGACGTCAGAAAAAGAGTTCATCTCTCAGTAGTGGGCCGGCCCATCCGGGCACATAACGCGTGTGATCCGCAGCGATTGCGTCATCTCTGATCTGGCTGGGCCTCCAACCCCACGATGGGCTAGGCGAGATGCAGGTGCGGTCCTGTGTCCTATGGAGTATGGAACATAGTTAGTTAAATAGGGAATTAAACGAGGTTTAATACGTACGTGTTTTATTCGGTAACACGATTGAAAAAAACGGTCAAAAATTCGTTGAAAAATACGTTGACTTTTAAAAAACGTGTGAATACGTATACGTGTATAATACGGTATATGTTACAAAAATACGGAGTATTATTTTGATCATTTAAAGTATATACTTCACAAAATAAGATATATAGTAAAAATAAATAAAAGTATAAACATATTCAAGTAGCAAATCTCATTACCGCATCAAAGAATAATTCGTAATTGCATAAGTCGATGACAAAAATAAAAATAGTAATTAAGTCCAAGGCATAATTTTGCAAAATAAAGTCTAAAAAATGAGACATAATAACCATAGACGAGGCGAAGTTAAAATCATTATCTTTACATAATCATCAAATAATACTGAAGTTAAACTCATCATTTTATCAAGATGATGAATGACATATGAGAAAAGTACATTGTACGACTCCTACGCTTATTATTGTTTATGTGTAAAACTGTAAAAGTATACTAAACATATGTCAGGGTTAGAAAAAACTTAATTTTGATATGCTTGATTGGGAAAACATCATAAATCAAGTAGTATTTAACGTTTTGGTATTTAATTTTAGGAAGCTAGCTTTAGTTGTCATGCAATCAATTTTAGTATCTAATAATTGCATTGTAACCATACAAAAACACGCGGTCACGAGGACGATGTTTTTTTGTTTGCTTTTAAGCTATTGTTGATCTCCTGTGCATTTTATGCACTCATTGAATTGATCAGTTCATGTTTATATTTTTTGTAAAAACACGGAAAAAATACGTTTTATACGGAAAGTAGGAGTTTTTTTCCTTTTTAAACGGACCGACATTATTTTTCGTTTTAAACGTGATTTTTTGTTAAAAAAAAAACGGTACGAGTTTAAAACGCGTTTTAAACGAAAAAAAGCTAACTAGGGTATGGAATACTTTCTACTGAGATTATTACTTGTTTTTTAAAACAAAAAGTAATAGAATTATCTAATAAAAGTAAAATAAATCTATAAATAGTTACAAACAACTTCAACATAGTTAAAATTTTCAACCAAATCAATTAAGATGCACAAAATCGCACACATAAGAAAATATATAAATCATACTGATTCATACGCACAATGACACAACAAATTTTAGTTCTTAAGAAAAATGAATACCTAAAA